GGTCGCACTTAATTATTCTCATTCACACCGGCCCACATGCTACTCTAAACCTACCAGCAGAGGAGGTTGGTGCTTTTTGCTGTTACAATGCATGGCATAGGTAACCCTTTTAACTTAATTGAAAGGTTACAAAATTACATTACGTTCAATTCTATGGGGAACTCTGCTGTGGTCACCAATGGTAATTCTAGGCGAGCTCTGGTGTGCTGCGAAAAAACGCAGCATATTCATTTTTTAAAGCAATGCACTGCAGTCCAACCTTAGGGCAGTGTTGTTGTGCAAAGAGGGCACATAATGAACAATTGTTTTGTGTGTGTCCTGGTGTTAATCTGTGCAGATCAACTGTTCTGGCGTGAACCAGCCCTCACAGTTTTCCGTTAGCCCCCGTGCTAAGTTCCATGAATAGTTGCTGTTCCTGCCAGCGAAGTCCACCTAATGCTGCTTCCTGTGATGGTCTGGCAACAATGCTGCACTGCCCATGAATTCTGAGCAGAGTTGCCACACTCATGAAGGCTGCGTCTGCTTGCACTACAGTTGGATGAAAAACGGTTTCAGGGACATGGTTATCAGTATTTCAACTGTTAATTCAAAAGCCAGTAGCTTGTCAATCAGCATCAGAGGTAGAAATGTGTAGATCAGGCTAAACTGATCTTATGGGGGCCACCAAAGCAACTACGCCAAAGGATGGAGGAGCTCTGGAGACAAATCTGGCCAGTTTGTTGTGGATCAAGACTAGGAGATTCATATCCAACATTCCCCACCTGCGACAAAGGTCATGGAAAACCTTATGGTGAAAAGACCACTCTCCGGAGTTCAGACGTTGATGGCTGCAGAAGTCTGCCTGCTGGTTCTCCAAGCCTGGATTGTGTATGGTGGACAGGGTCAGAACATGTACTTCTGCCCAGACCAAATCAGAATAACTTCCTCTTTAAACAGTATAAATTCTGGTCCCACCCCGGTGGCTAATGTAAGACAATGCCGCAGCATTGTCCAACCGAATCCTAGTCGCATGGCCCTCAATGTGAGAAGTCTGACATTAAAAGGAATAGCAAAACTGATCTGCGCTCCAGAACACAAACTGGAAGACAAGCTCACTCCAGAAACCACTTCCCCTACACCAAGAGATAATCTAGGACTCCTTCCTAGCTAGATAGGCTAGCATTCATCATAAAGACATTTTAAACCTGTGGGAAAAAGATTTTCCAAAATCAAGCAGCAGACTGTTCTTGCTGCTTAAGCGAATGTGACGGTCGAGCAATTTACGGACCTTCTTGTCCCATGCTGCCATAATATTAAAGCTGCAGTGTTGTGGAGTGAAACTGGACATAGAGCAACTGCTCAAAAAGGAGGCTACTATTTCAGCCCAGAACCCTCATGGAGCTTGATGTTTTGGAGAACAACAACAACACAATTACAGTTAGCCACTACCTTGTCTTCTTTTACTCTGTTTACTTGATCTTTTTTCTCCTTGGCACGAGCAGGCTTTGCCTTCTGGTTATTATTTCTTGAAGGAGGGTTGGGGCCCCTGACAGCAGCACTTATGCGATTATTATGTACCCGAACGTCACTGAATTGGGAAGATTGTCGTTTCCTTGGTCCAGGCGAAGGAAAAATCTAGATTCCTAAAATAACCAGCCACATTCTGCCTCAATGTAGCATGCTAAAGTGGGATACATAGGGGTCATTTAATGAGCATATTATATTAGCAATTCAAACTTCAGTTTCCCTGCTAAGCAAAGTATCATGTAATTGTTAGCCATACTATGCAAATGCACCAAAAGTTCAAACACCTACTAACTATTGTGTGATGGTTTTATAGCTGCAGTGTTTGAATGGTCTTATTTTTAGATTGACTACACCTGTAAGCGTCAGTTGAATCTATCTGCTCCTCAAGGAAGAGAGGCAGCCCTTAGCCCTCGTTCACACCTGAACGTTTTGTAGCGCGTTCTACGCTCGACGAACGCTCTACAAAACCGCTCAAAAATATAAATCCCATTGTATTCAATGGTCTCGTTCCCACCTTGGCGTATTTCCGCCCGTCCCTAACACGCTACAAAACGGCCCACGCCTGAAAAGGTACAGGTACTACTTTGGGCCGTTTTGTTGCGCGTTTCCATTGGGATACAGCCAAGTAGCCTTCGGAAACGCGCAACTTTTTTACCGCGAATCGCGGTGAAAAAACGCGCGACAGACACGCATATGCAATACGCCTAGGTGTGAACGAGACCTTAAGCAAGCATGTATGAGTTCATCCATACAAAGGGTCCACTTGAGAAGAGGCACTTCCATCCTCATTGTGATAAGTGGAGGCATTGTTCAGTATTGCCACTGGGACCAGGTCAATAATCTAAAGAACTTTTTTGCATACAACCATAACTGGTTATTATTTGCTTCCTCTTTGAAATCAATGAGCTAAACAAATTTGCATGAATACTTTGCAAACCAATTTAGAGCATTGCGCTATTGTAGTAAAATTACTCACTGATCACACTGCTACAATTGCCCTGTTGTCCTCCAATCAATGATTTGATTACTAAAATTGTTCATGTGCCTGCTTCTACTGCCCGACATATTTTGCAAGTGAAGAAACCAATAGCGGAACTATAAATCCTGTGTGCTCCTGTACTAGGAGCAGTCATACGACAACTACTGCAAACATGTTAAAATAAATCTTGCTGTCTGAACTAAGGTGGCAGGAATTAAATATGACCATACACTCTAGTGGTCTAATCTCATAAATCTGGCGACATATGGTTAGTTCAAGCAGAATGAAGCAGCTGTTTTATAAATCATACAATCATCAATTTGTCCAACCATATCCAGATAGGTGCTAATTCTTGCTGGGTGATTACTGACAAAATTCCATAAATACAGGTGTACTGAGACAGATCAGTGAAATGATACAAAGACGACAAAACAAGCATTATTTGGGCAAAAGTTATTTTTAAATGGACAGTTGCTTTAAAGTGGACCTTTACAATCAAATTCTACCAATGCATCCCTTTATGTAGGATGATTAATAATTACAGACATGTCAGGTGTAAAATGCTGCGATTTTGAAATACTTACACTTGCGGAGCATTCACTTCCTGCTTTGAAAGGGCAAAATGACTTCAGTTTGCCAAAGCAATGTACACTGGGATTGCATTGTCATCAGCAGAGAATTGCTGGGAAATCTAATGAGATCTCTGGAAAAGGCATTTTCCTCCCCTGAGATGGTTGAAATGGTCACATGTCTAGTCACATGTGCCAGAAATCCAGGAAGTAATAGGGGAGCGAGTAATCTGCCCTTAGTAAACATGGCCACTGCCAAGAGACTGGGGAAGAAAAGAGAACTAAGGTATGCAAAGAATACAAAGCCTGCAATTATTTAGAAGTATGTGTTTGTAGATTGTCATTACTAATTTCTAAAGGTGTGTTTGTTGTTATTTTAAAGATATGGGTAAAGGTCCGCTTTAAGATATAGGTTAGCATAATGTACATAATCTTAAAGGTGATTTTACACTATCACAGAGAAAATGGTAAATCTTGTCCCATTTCAACTGAAAATTAACCTGATGAAAAGGACATCAACTGCCACTGCAACCACAAAGCTGGCACATTATAGTACCTGCATGTCAGCTTGGCTTAGTTTTTAAGAGCCCAGGGGCCTCAAATTCTCTGGTATGCAAACACTTCCTAGTTAAGAACTTGGATGCCCATTTCTGCGCCGCGCTACTCGCCAGTTAGGCTGCACATCATAGTAATGGGTCTATAGTATAATAATATAAGAAACAAAAACTATCAGAATTTTAATACATACAAAAGCTACTGTTCCAAACCTCTTGTTCCATACACCTTCAAACCTAGTTTATCATAGACTCAAAGTTCAATTTAGTAAGCTATGGAAAGGGTGCTATTTGCCATAGAGGTTTACGTTCAGTCCTGTTACTGTTATTTTCAGTTCTCATTGATCATTGTTGCTGAAACTAACCTTTGTTATGCCGAATAAAGATGGATATATGTTTCATTAACCCTACACTGATTCTTCACATCTAGCTTATTCCTCGACTCGCTCTGACATGGTATTAAACCTGCACATACATTTTACTAACAAAGGCGGACAATAACCATGTTGGAGTGGGACAAAAATTGGATTTTCTCATTTTACACTGTTGGATCTGCTACTACAAATACTCAGTTTCATGCTTTTTCTCATCCTCTCTCAAACACCCTCTGTCACAGCATTCTACATGCAGATGTCATGAACTGTCACAGTCCTGATCTGCTTCCCACTGTGCTAGCAATCACTTTAAACTGTTAGTCAATTATTACTTCATGCATGTTAGAGAGGTATCCAAACAAAACTATGCTGATCTTCCTTCACCTACTAAACCATCTGACATGCTGCCTTTATGTAATCCTTAACTAAGCCATCTCCTTCAGTTCTAGTTCATGTTCTCAATGTCTTGTCTGGACTACTGCAACATTTTCCTGTCTGATTTTCCATCTATAAAAAAAAAAAAAAAAGAAGAATCTCCAAACTACAATTTGTATAATACAATTTGTTTTTTGCTGCAAGATTTACCTGTCCCTTCCAGAACTTCTGATCTTATGCACCAAATTTGGATGACAATAGTAAAGAATTTACATCAGCTCACCTACGCTCAGCCGGTACTGGTAAGGACCAAACTTCTCCATCCTGGACGGGTAAATCATGATGTGCTGCTTTCAGTGGAGAGCTGTCAAGTTTAAAACTTTCCAGCGTAGACATTATGTCCTTCACATGCTTAGCTTCTACATTGATCTCTTGCCACACCTGCCAGAGAGCATTAGATAAGTTACAAATCACCAGATGCTTTTTGTTATGCTAACATTTGCTTTAAAGTGTAGGTTCAGTTTTTAAATAATCATTGAATCCTACCACTTACACACTCTATTCATCAAGTGGCAATATAATTGGTCACATGCAACCAAGATGGCAACACTCTGACCAGGGCCGGGCATATATTTTATACTCATAGCCAAGTATACTCACTGCTAGAGCATCGTGGATGTAAACATTTCAGCAGCCAACTTGTTTGAGATTTGAGCATCTATATTACAATTTGATTAAGGTGATGGAAGGGTGCTTTTATTTCTTTTTTAACCCACCTTATAAAATCAAGCAAGATGCCTTTGTCGCATATGAAATGCAGACTTCAACTGCCATGTCAAAAGATATTCTAAAATATCAAAGGGCTCGGAGACTTGCTATTACCTTTGTGAGGTGCATGCTCCCTCCACAGACTAGCACTCATTGTACCACATGACGGGATTATCAAGTCACCAGTTGTTCATTACGATCGTGATGGTATAATCCCATCATCGGTCGAGAATGGGTTAAGCACTGCTGTTGCATGTCACCTGTTCTTATCGACCACCAAAAACCCAATTTTTGAGCTGGGGGTCTGTATAGGCCCTGAATGTGTCAGATTAAATCTAAATGTTGCTGACTAATTGTTTGGACCTAGTTCCTTGATTTTGGAAAGATTTTGCAAAAGATTTCCAAGTCAAACTCAGGGTATAGTTTAAAGGGAAAGCATGGTGGTCTGTATATTTTCTTACTATTATGGTCAGAAATAAATATACAAGCGCTCTTTGGCAGCTGAATTATTGCATATTAACTTGATGTAGCCTTCTATCCAGCCAGAAAGTGGGAGGTTTAGGTTCATTTTCACAGGTTTTCTACTATGAATTGTAAAAAGTAGGTTTAAAAAGCTGAACAGCTAAAGTGTTAAAAAAAAGTAAGTACATATACATTACCTAACCCCTGGTTTGCATACTACAGGGAGTGATTTTGCCATTCTTCTTGAGAGATCCTGGGGAGTGCCGAGTATCTGAATTTTGGCAAATTACACTTTCACTGATAGATAAGAAATAATGATATTTTGGATACTCCGCATTCCCTGTGATCTTTTCAGAATGAACATGGCATCACCCTCACCTAGGCGCCAAGGGTAAAAAGTCAGGAATAAGGCAAGAATAATAAATGAATTCCCTACATACAAATTTACACCAGTGATTGATGGAGGAACGGACCTTGATAAATAAGGTGGACCTTGCATTTTTACTGCAAGGTTAGCGTTAATAGTTTTTGCAGATCAGACTGGTGCTGTAGAACAATATTGCAGTCTCTCGATATTCTTGATAGTTTTTGTGTACATTAGAGTGTTACTGCTGTGGCAACCATTATTAAACAGCCCCTAAGTAGGTGGCAGTGAACCGTAGAAAATGAAAAAAAGAAAAGAAAAAAAAAAAAGTTACATCTCGCACTTGTCTGGACACGTGAATATATTAAAAAATAATTATAATTGTGAACAGCATGTGCATCCCTAAGCAATTATGAACAGTAAACTGCCACCTAAGTGAAGTGGAATGTTACATAGATAAGAAATCATCAACCAACAATGTACATTGGACAATAATTTTGACTCCTCTTAGCATACCGGAAAATGGTAAAGCAAGGTTACATCATGCAAGACATCGTCGTGATGAGACTTCAAAAGCCAATGTTAAAGTGAAGTTGAATTCAAAAAGTGAAGATCTGCTATATTATAGAAAACAGCTGCTGGTGTGCTTGTTCCCAAACAGTGGTGATGCGCTCGATCGAGCCGCATTGCACGGTCTCTTACTTTTTTGTTGAACTTTACTGAAATGTCTAAAGTGACATTTTTCAGTTCTATGGGCTCAATGCGGTGTGATGTGGCTGTGCTACAACTCACTGCTGTGCACTAAAAAAAAAAAAGTCCTTCTTACCGTAGTTTAAGCGCACACCACCAGAACACAAATAGTGTGAACTGAGCTCATCTATGACAAGGCAATTTGCCTTGCGTTCGAGCTGCGCTGGAAAAAAACGCCCAGCGATACCTGAATGCAGACAGTGAGAACCGGTCATAAAGCAACCCACAGAGATAAACATATAAAATGGAACAAAAACAAACACTCCACAGTGCCAACACTGAAATTACTTATTAATTCAGACCCGAAACCAATGAACATTTTAGATTTAAATGTGTCAAAGTATAGTAACCTATACCAAAAAAAAACAGCATATTTTTTTTCTCCTCTGAGTACTCTAAACTGGCAAAAGGTGAAGTCTTTCTGGTTGGTATGGATCACTGTGTTGCATTGTTTTTATTAAAAAAAAACTCTGGATCACTTGCTCTTTATATTTAGCCTGTAGCTTATGCATGTTAATTGTTCAAAGCACAGCGAATATGCTAAAATTTTTATAATTACTGTTCCACAAACATGCGTGTACATCAAAACGTTTTTACAACCTGCCTTGCTGTCTAAAATTATCCATCAATAAAACAGCAGCATCTACAGCACAATCATTCATGTACTGAAAAGAACAGAAGGCATTTTCTTTAACTTGTTAGACCTGTTATGCTTTATAGGCTTCTCATGTGAACACAGGCTGGCAAACAAATGACACAAGAAATGGGAACCTATGGAAATCAAACAAATGGAAGAAACTGGCTGACGGATCATAACAAGGTGCAATATTTTGTCCTAATCTAATGTATAATCTTTAAGCAATGCCAGATCAGCAAACAAATGTATTCCAAAAACCATAACTCATGCTAATTTGGAGATTAAGTATTTCTAGTGAGAAGGATAGAGAAAGGGGGGGAAAAAAAAAAAAAAAAAGTCATTCAGCATGCACATACACAACAACAGACAATACGCTCTTACCTATATCCCCAATAAAATCCAGTGAAGCTGTGTTAAAGGACAGAAAAATCACTCTATTTAGTAGCTAAGTACATTCCTTCTTGGAATGAACACACGTGCATAGTCAGAATACTGCATTTTAGGTTCATGATGTAATATATCCACTAAATTATTTAGATGCTCTGTTAGACTTACATGGATGTCGGGGTGCACTTCTCCAAATAAAAGCAGTTATCTCTTTGTTCAATAATGTGAACTATGTGGCTATCAGGAAAAGCGGAGCAGGGCAATGGCAATACAAAGAATGCTAGATAAGTCACATCACCCATATCCCTCTCAGTAAGAGCATTACAAAGCGGACTTCATACATAAAATAGGAAGAAACTGATTATAGCAACAAGGCAGTGAATTTTTTTTAGTCTGCAAATCAAAAGAAAAATAAAGACTACAATGGCATTTTAATTTGACGGAATGCAAAACCAAAATATTTTTTTAGTTTTGGATATTGTAATGGTGGAAACTTCAATTGGTTTTCTTTTGCCATAACAGTCCAGTTCAGGGGGGCGGCAGGCTTGGGCAGATCTCCTTTTACTTTTTGCCCAAAGACACAATAGAAAAGTAAGGTGATAAACATTTTTAGGAGTTAGCAAAACAAGTGTGTCTAAATGTAAAGCTGAAGATTTCACATTTTCCCTCACTTACTGTCTTGGAGACTGTAATCACCAGAATACAGAAGGTAGGGGGTTCTACCCATTTCAAACCGACTGAAATAATACAAAAGGAAAAACCTGGGGGCTTTAGTTGCATTTTTAACATTTTAACCTTTAATTAGGGTTATTTTCTAGCACCTTAAAAATTAACTATAAGCCAGACCTTTTTTGGCGTTTGTTCTCTTTTGGGTCACAGGAGGACATTTACCAATACAGATTGTACGGTGTAAGGACTGTACACTGGAAGCCACAGAGGGGAAGCTGCGTTCGTTGAAAGGTAAGAGCAGCCGGAGGGGAAGAGAGGAAGCAGATTGGTGTGGGCAATTCCATTTTCCCAATTTCACTTGGGAAAGTGATATTACCCTTTAAATTAGGGATGCACCGATAGATCGGCCGAAAATGGCACTCTTGACTAAATGCCGAAAGTGCAATTTTTCTGCCGATACAGCGGCGCATCCCTGCTTTCTTTCCTCCCGTTGGGTGTTGCTCTGTGTCCCAGCAGAGAGGAAAGAAAGTGTCACAGGCGGCCGAGCGCTGCAAGAGGAGAGCGATGGGAGTGGCCAGCGTCTCTCCTCCCACACCGCTCAGCCTCCTGTCACAGTTTGGCAGAGCGGTGTATGGGCGTAGACAGCCCGTGCTGTTACAGGAGGCTGAGCTCTCGTCCCCGCACCGCTCACTCAGCCTCCTGTGACAGCTGCAGGAAGGAGAGCGGGTACAAACACTCAGCGATCAGTGAGTGTTTGTACATAATTGAGGACATAGTATGGTTACTATAAACCACAATTATGAATGAATGGGAAGTAATCTACATCACCTCCTGTTCATTCATGATTGTGTTTATAGTACACATATATCTCCAAAGTTATGAATGAACAGGAACACTGTTCATTGATAACAGGGGATACAGAAAAAGAGATAAGAGGACACAGAGTCCTCTATCTCTTTTTCTTTTTTAAAAAGGGAAATATCAGGTGATCTGTTTAGACCCCCAATATTTCCTTACCCGAAGCCCCTATAAGTAAAAAAAAAATTAAAAAAAAATTAAAAAGAAGTTTATAAAAAAATTAAAAATATTTGAAAAAAATTAAAATAAAAAGCATTTTTCGGTTTGAGTCTGACATTTTTTTAAAATTTCCCTTTCAGTTTTGAAATTTCCATTTAGGTGCACCTCTACTTTAAATGCCTGTTACCCACAGACCATTAAGGCTACCTCATGGGACATTAACATGCTTTTAACCAATGGTCAGGTATTTTCCAGAAGGCGTTATGCGTATATCTTCAGTGCTCTTGGCAAGTTACACAATAGTAGTGGGTTGCAATGATGCAAAGTACAGTAAGATGTCTACCTGCCTGCCGTTCTAGGGAAAACTTTGTTCTGTCTATGGCCAGAATAATGAAAAAAATGAATTGATAGTTTCCAGCAATTTAGAAGTACATAAAATGCTATTAAACGATGACTCCCCTTTTGTTGAGAAAAATTTAATCCATGCACATTGCATGGATTTTTAACAAACCCTGTTGTAGATTCCAATCTTTTTCTGTTCTGAAGAAAAAGCAGTTTGTATCACCATATCCTTTCCAGACGATTCCTAAATGTTAGTGTCTGGTTTGTTTTAACTACCTGGTGAACCTTCAATGTTCTAATGAGGAAAGTTGCAGTGTCTGCATCTCTATAGAAGTAGTTAACCCTTACATTATATAGGATGCCTAAAATGTTACTTGTGTCTAAATGCAGACTTCTGGGAAAACCTGTGAGCCAATCACAAAAGCAGGTAAATCACATTTCTGGGGGCATTCCATACTAATACTGAATTTAACTAATGAACAGAATTGAAATGGAACGGTCATTTTTAATAACCGTAATTTACAAAATGGCATGTGCAGCAATTTTCTATGCTATGTTTTTAAATAAGAAAAGTGGAGTAATTCCTTAGCTAAACCTCAGTGCTGAAAAAAAAAAAATCAACATAAAACATTGTATATTTGACTATGGACCAGATTATAGCAAACTATCTGCACGTTTACTTTCAAAACTTAAGTGCAAAAAACAAAATATAAGTGCAAAAAACAGATATAAAAAGATGTCATACCTGTTGCCATTTCTGCTGTAGGAAGGTGTCTTTGACATACAAATATTTGCTCATCTGGTCTAACACGCCTTGATAGTAAACCATGGCAGAATCGTAGTTGCCCAGGAGAGCATATTCACGTGCCAGTTTCACATTCTCACTTATCATAAGTAGACTCATTCTGATCACTGGAAAAGACAAAAAAAAAAGTCATTTTTTCCCCCCAAGATGAACAAAATGTGTATGATATTATATACACCTGATCCCCATCAAGTTATTAGAAAAGCAGCGTATGGTTAATATGCACTAGTGTTGCCTACATGAAAACACCCTAGATAATGTGGAAACACATAATTTGGAACAATTAATGTTTAGCAATTTTCAGTCTGATGCAGTCTTCACATGCATATCTGGGCTGCCTTTATATCTATGCACTTCTGTTTTCATGGATTTTTCAACACACATGTACATTGGTGCTGTTTCTCCACTTTTGTGCTCAGCATCTAGGGAGGGGTGAGACGAGCTTGACTTTTTTTTTTCAAATGTAGCTAGACTAAGAGCATGTGGCCTGTTGTCTTTGTAACTTGTTGGCAGCACATGAAAATACATACATCATGCACTTTCATGTGATCTCATTGACTTATATTTGCCCCTGACACACATCGATGATGAAAAAAAACCTACTGATCTATTTTCCATGACATGCTGCAACACATATGTGATCCAGGCCCACTGAAAACAAAGCAATGCAAAGTATCATGCAAAGGGCTAAAAGAAGAAAGAAATATAAATATTTCCTAAGTTACACTTTACAATTTTAATAAAGTTACAAAAATTCAGATTCCTGAGAAAAATGTGACAGGCTTTCTTTAGGGATTTTAAGAGGCTTAATATATTTACCCGTTTCCTGGAGTGAGGTACCCCTGGGACCAATCAGCAGTTAATGCTATGACACTTCTGCTTCCCCACAGTGGGCAGGTTCTGAAGGTCTCTACTTAGGCAACCAATCAGTACTTCTGCTTCACTTCCGACTACAGCAATCACAGAGAAACAAAAGTCTCACATGGAAGTGGTCAGTCTACTCCAAACCGATAGTTCCGTTTCTGGTAGGTGCTAGAAAGTTAAACCACTAAATAATTTCTTCCAACTCACATACAAAAAGGTGTTTTAGGGATTTGATAACCACACTACAAACCTACCTAAGCCATTATGAAATATCTGGAAGGGCAGTAACCTTTGTAAACAATCTAGAGGCAGACATCCTAGTACTAACACTAAAGGTGTTTTAGGGATTTGATAACCAACCACACTACAAACCTACCTAAGCTATTATGAAATATCTGGAAGGGCAGTAACCTTTGTAAACAATCTAGAGGCAGACATCCTAGTACTAACACTAATGTTATTAGCCTGATGGCGAAAAATAAGAGGAAAGATACAGGAAAAGAACAGCAGCTTGGTCACACAGAATCTATCTTAGACTAATCATGTCCTTGAAGGCCTGTGGACTTGAGCCATCTATTTACAGAAAATTCTGTAGCAGGACAACGGTGAACTGCCTGCTGAATATCCACAGAAGTAAATGACTTTCTTTCATATGCAGAACCTTCACTCTAGAAAGTAGGAAAGAGCAGATGATTGTTTTTAGCAAGAAAAACTAAAAAAAAAACAAAACAGTGTGGTCAGGAAAGGCACAGCAAATGCATTCCGTCATAGGGAATACGTTACCTCATACATGAGGAATTCATAATTTTTACACCAGTAAAGATTCTGCAACCTTCAAAAAAAGGTTAGATTAGAGAACCAACCAACTAAAGGATTCCCCATCAACTTAGGAAACTGTTCAGTGGGCCCAGACTTAAGGAGTAGACAAGTGAAACTTCCAGGACGGGGGAGAAGGGTAAAATTCACACCCTGGCAGAATACAACACATTAGATAGTGGAACTTCTTAGACCGCAAGATCAGCTTGGTGTCTGTTCAAAATCTAGATTCTCTAATTCAGAGGAACAACCGTGAAAAAAAAAAAAAAAAAGGGAGGATTGAGGGACAGCAGGAGAAGAGGGCCCATTTTAAATGGAATACTCGAACAATGCCATAAACCCTAAAAAGGTAAGGGACAAAAAGGTCCACAATGAGTATAGACAATAGGACCTTTAACTTAGATAGAAGTGCGAGAAACTAGGACAGAGGCTCTCTTCAGTGAAGGTCTCAAGAGCATTTCACAATAAGTATGCACGGAAAAAAAAAAGGCACAAGGGTGGACATAAGGGTCAGTGTTGAAAATAGGGCCCAAAACAACTAAAGTACACAGAAGAGTCAGGTCCTTACAAGGTAAAGGAGCGGTAGGAACTGACCCAATCAATCTTCCATGCTTCAAGATCAAAAGATCAAATGAGTTCAAGCAGGTCACTCACCACAGGGGGGAGTACCCATCTATGATGGAAAAGGACTACTCTATGAAAAGGAGTAAAGCTTGCACAGAGCACATGCGGATTCTTGTGAAAGTCTAGTATTTTTTCTTCCTAACGAAGGACTACAAGATTGAATAGAATAGCATTTCCCAAGAGAAGGGTGCTACTAGAGTAGGGATCAAAAGGTGCGGAGAACTCAAACAAACCTGTGAAAATGCACGATGGGGTTTCAGCAATACCCAAAATGGCAGCTAAAGATATCTGAATTCAAGGGTCTAGAATGGATGCTACAAGGAGAAGTTTGAGCTTTCAAAATTGAAGGTAAACAATCAAAACACCCAGCAGAAGAACAAACAGCCCCACACACTTAGAAGAAAGGGGGATGTACCTCCTTCAAGCAGAGGGTTGAGAAGAGGCGACAGGGCAATTGGCCCCAATGTCTGTGACTTGAGCTGGGAGGTACAGTGATCATCTACTGGGGGATTTACTATTTTAGTAGATGAAGAGTGAGGTTCCTCTGCCCCCATCCTAGGACCTCTTGACATATACAATATCAAAGTTGAAGAGACAAACCCTTTAAAATAAAAATGTTCCTCAAGTGTGAGCTCAGCGTGCCAGACATGAAGTCAAAGTGCCCAAGGCATATGGACAGACATGGTGAGACACAAGTTTAGATGCTTGTAAGAGACAATTACAGCTAAATGGCAGTGCTTGACATCAATTACAAGAGATCCAGGACACAAGGGGATGTCCTTTAGATGGAGGGGTCTCCTTTATGAGACTTGATCCAAAATGGCACAGTTTCATGGAGTCACTCCAGATGACCAACTGTGTCAGTTAAATGCCTTTGGCTACCCACACATGTAGAAAGTTTCCCTGGTTCAGCCTTGTAGGCTGAACGAGAGAAATCAACTGATACCCCTGCTCACACTAAACAATGTGGGTGGTGGAATCTACACTGATGGCTATTGCATTAAGACAGCCACAGCACCCATAGATTGCAGTCACTGTTCAGCCAATTTTCCACCCGGCTCAGTTGATGTTTAAATTGACTTTTGTTGAGCCGAGTGGTGATGACAGGGCCACCTAGGACTTTAGTTTTGCCCTATTTAACAGGAATCAGCTACAAATTCAAGCAGTGTGTGGCAGCTTAAAAGTAAGATCATCATCAACTTGTTTGGTGGTATGCTTGTTAAGGTGAATGACTGAAGTGTCAACAGTGGGCAGAGAGCACATATTAATAAATTCCCTTTCAAATGGAAAAAGCTCCATTTTACTGTCCGGTGGAAGCCATGATTCCATATGTTGTTTCCAGTCCTCATAAAAGGAATCCTATACAGATTAAGTGTATTGTGAAGGTATTTGCACCCCTAACAGCCCGTTCACATTGAGCGGTTCGCAAATTGCACGATTGTCGCGGGATTTGCATTTTGCAAGCTTGAATCGCGGCTAAATCCGCTCCAAAAGGGGTCCTGCTGTAGCGACACACGACCCGCGACAGCAGGACCCTTTGCCCCATTGAGAAGCATTGGAAAGCGATATCGCACGGTAAATTGCCGCTATATCGCGGGAATTACCGCGCGATAAATCGCTCAATGTGAACGGGGTCTAAGAGCTCTAATACACCCTCTGCTTGGAACAGCAGGGTTATCCTTCAACTGCAGGATACATTTGGATGGTGAAGTTGTACAGGAGCTGTCTTAATATTTGTTTGCCAGTATTCCAACCTCCTGTAGGGGGCAATATAATTAAATTGTCTAAGAATTACTTCAGTCCTATGTCCCTTAATAAAGGTTAGAAGATAGAAGGATTTTGTATTAACGTTGATTGTAGTACTGAAATAGTGTGCTATTGGTACAGGAGTGACAAAAATCTGCTACATTAGTTGCTGAAAACTTCTAGTGCACTCACTTTCTATTATTTGATTATCTGAAAAACTGTTGGTAACAAATCATCCACAAACACCAATACTTATTAAAACTATGAGAAAAAAAACCCACAAAAAACAAGCATATGTAAGACCTAAAATACCACTATTATTCAAATAATTAGAGGTATATTTAAGATCAAGATATGATAGTGGCATGACAAGTAAAAGCAGAGCCTGCACATACAGTAATGTCTTTGTTTGCATTACAGTACACTTAGTTGTAACTCTTTTATGCACCTCTCCCATAAAACATGCATGAACAGGATCAAGGAGGTATCTATACAGGATGCTTAGAATGATGCTGATCCACTCATGGAAAAGTAAACACAGAAGAAAAAAAAAAAAAAAGTGTCAACAATACAATTACATCATGATTTACAGATATGTTTGTATTCATAAAGCCAATTTTTATTGGGATTCAGCCTATGCCAAAAAGAATCAAATAAATCTATAATGTAGAACTCATGGCAAATATAAATGACACATGTTGAGACCAGTTATTGTATGTATGTATGTATGAAAAAGGGGTCCTGCTGTAGCGACACACGACCCGCGACAGCAGGACCCTTTGCCCCATTGAGAAGCATTGGAAAGCGATATCGCACGGTAAATTGCCGCTATATCGCGGGAATTACCGCGCGATAAATCGCTCAATGTGAACGGGGTCTAAGAGCTCTAATACACCCTCTGCTTGGAACAGCAGGGTTATCCTTCAACTGCAGGATACATTTGGATGGTGAAGTTGTACAGGAGCTGTCTTAATATTTGTTTGCCAGTATTCCAACCTCCTGTAGGGGGCAATATAATTAAATTGTCTAAGAATTACTTCAGTCCTATGTCCCTTAA